TTGTTTGCTTGTCTTTTTTTCCCCGTATCTCCTGTAATTTTAGCTTTATGAATATTGTGCTTTGTTATTTGGTACATAGATATTCATAACTGTTATGTCTTCATTGTCAATCACATCTTTGAGCACTATAAAGTGCCTGTCTTCATCTTCATTTTATGTAATATTAAGATTATGACCTATGCTTTCTTTTCTTTGTATTTGCCTTATATACCTTTGTACATACTTTTATTTTCAACCTCTCCGGAAACACTTTGTCTCTGATGGGCCATTTGCTTGATTACAGTATAAAGTTGCGTTTTGCCTAGGGAGCAGTCTGAATATTTTTTTCTTTTAATAGGTGAGTAAGCCTATTTCAACATTTATTGATATGTCACATAGGTTAGTCTTAGTTTTATCATATTAATATTATATTATACTTTCTGTTTTTGTAGTTTTTAAAAAGGTTTCACTAAGTAATCTTTTGTCTTTGTGGCTGTGAGTAATTCTCAAATTTCAGAAGGTTTTTGTTTTTGCTCTAGTTTTTGCTTTTATCGTGAAAACTTCAAAAAATACCTCTAGTTTTCTATTATTTAACCGTCTATTAATTCCTTACTATGAATAATGAAAAAATAAGCACATTTTCTCTTCTTCCCTTCCTTTCCTCTTCTACTCAGTTTTAGTCAATAATATCTTTCACAGAGTTTATCTTTGCATTTTAAAAGCATTTATTTTCTTACTTGGTTTGTCCGTTCTGTGGCAATGTTTTCCTGGTGAGTGTTTTCAATTATTAGAAACTTTTGCTACTCTTTTCCTCTTTTACTTTAGTGGGTTTAATTTGATGCTGTGTATTACTCATCATCAAATGGGCTAGTTGCTTGCACGAGGCTCCCGCAGAGGGGGCCAGGGCAGCCTCCCAGGCTAGCTGGCTTCCCCACCACCATCAGCCACAGACACAGGCTGCTTCCTACGACTGCTGCTCTCCCATGTGATTCTTTGGGTAGCCCCATGTGGAGGATTAAAAATGGCCACAAATTCTTTGCTACTCTACCCATTCAGAGGTGGAATCTACTCCTCCCATCCCTCGAATCTGGGACGTCTTAGTAACTTGTTTGACAGATAGAATTAGCGCATAAGATGCCTTGGGAGCTTTGGTCCAGGCCACTTGGAGCAATTACTCTGGGGGAAGTCAGTTACCGCGTAAAAAGTCTGTCTTTCTTGAGACCACCACGCCCTCAGGAAACCCAAGCTGGTCACATGGAGAGGGCACGTGGAGAGACAGATGCCTGACAACCTGAGGAGCCAGATGTGTCAGTGTAGAAGACTTCAAATGACTCATCCTCGGCCACCATCTGACGGCAACTGTATGAGGAACTCCAAGCAAAAGCCACGAGCTGAGCCTGTCACATCCCAGAATTGTGAAAGATAATACTAAGTTGGTGTTTGATTATGATGAAGTCACTAAGTTTGTTATGCAGCAATAGGCAAGTGCAACACGCACTTCTGTTGGTTGTATGAACCTATACATTTCGGGGTCTAAAATGGCTCTGCTGTCAGCCTGGCTCACCCCAGCTCCCATAACTGCTGTTACAAAGAAGGGATACCACTTTTGTATATTTCTGGAGCGTTCTCACATCTGCCCCCTCTTCCCTTCACTTTCTTTTTTGTGATTTCTGCCTGATATCAGGCACTTTGGCAGCCTTTCCACATATTTTGGAGTCTGCAAATTATATTTGTCCTCTAGTTTCACCAAAAAATATTGTCTGTAGGGTTTTTTCTCCTTTTTGTTGTTGTTGTTGTTGTTGTTGTTGTTGCTTTTGAATGATTTGCAAGAAAAGAGAGGGAAATGCCAATTTCTACAGCCACTTGCACAGTATAAGTTACTATTACATTTTTTTAAATGGCTACATTCTTTTAAATGCACCATAACCAATCACTAGTAATAGACATGAAGGTTGTTTCCAATATCTCACTATTACAAGCAACGCTGCAGTGAAAATCCCTTTACATAGAACCTTTTTGCACTCAAACAAGTATTTGTGTAGGATAATTTTCTGCAAGTAGAATTTTGGGGTCAAGGGCAATGTCTGATTGAAGGCTTTTTATGACACTTCAGAATATGGGAAAATAGCCCAGTTTTGCTCGAGCTGAAGCTACAGTGCTCCTTAAGTAAATTCACTTGGCCACCGCTACTCCTATTAAATTGTTTGAGTGTTGTGTTGCCTGGTGTATCCAGCCTGTGAAAGAAACAGTCTGGTCCAGTTTGGAAAAAATATGTAATCACAAGGGCTTTTCCAGTCAAAGCTTCCAGGTCTCAAAAAGCAGGGTAACTAGTGAGATAGGGTGAGGTGGAATTAGGAACATGACAAAGCAACACAGCATAGCAGTGAGGGGCACAGAGCGAGGATGGGTGTCAATACCCCCACTCTCAGACCTGGGTGTGAATGACGATTCCACCACTCAATAGCTGTGCAAACTGGGCAGATCGCTTAACCTCTCTGAGCCTTACTTTCCTGATCTGTAAAATAAGGATAGTAATTGTATTTACCTCATAAGGCTATTGTGGGGACTAAACAAGAAATGTAATTTACATCACACTGTCTGTCACATAATATGTGCTCAGTAACTGTCAGCTATCATTAATATAACACAAAAGATCCTCCAGCTCCCAAAATTTTACCACATCAGAGTAAGTGCAGAGGAGACACGGAGAAAAGGATGGAGGTCGACCGCTTCCTAGAAGAGATTTTTCCATTCCCTACAAAGGCAGATTGCTGGGAACAAACAGAGTGGATAGGGGAAGAGTGGGGAGGGAGGCATGGCCAAGACAAGAAGGTGTGTTTTCCCAAAGGGAAAAGTCCACAGTAGGAGGTAGGACTTTGGGTTTCTGAGAAGAGGCAAGGAGGGAGAGTTGGTGGAGACAAAATGGCTTGGTATCCAGTTTACAAGTCTGTTAATGGGAGCTCTGCTCTATGTGCACAATCTGATCAATAGAGACACCCTATGAGCCTGATCTTTAACAGATACTGATCCATTACTCCTCACCCTCTTAGGCATCAGGCAGATGTATAAAAATTAATGCCATCCTTTGGCTTCAGGGCCCCAAGTATGGTTGCACAGGATGTCTGTGTGGATAGTGTCTCTAGTGTTGTACAGTACACAGCCTGCACAACTGTGCCTGCCTGTACATGGCAGCCTGCATGGACTTCACCCCAACGTGCTTCTGCTTTGCATTGTGTACCACATGGTCACCTATGGTCTCACATGGACCATAAGGTCCCTGAAGGCAGAAACATGGATTATACAGTTTTTTCTCCTCCCACAGTGCCTGGCACTCGGTTGATGATCAATAATTCTCCCCTAGGGGCCGGCCCGGTGGTGTAGTGGTTAAGTTCACGCACTCTGCTTTGGCGGCCTGGGGTTCACAAGTTTGGATCCCCAGTGCGGACCTATGCACCGCTCATCAAGCCATGCTGTGGCAGCATCCCATATACGAAATAGAGGAAGATTGGCACAGATGTTAGCTCAGGGCCAATCTTCCTCACCAAAAAATAAAAATAAAAAAAAATAATAATTCTCCCCTAGCAACTCTGTTAGGGAGCCTCTTCTGATTCGCTCCAGGAAGAGAAAGCAGCCTTCTTTGGGCCTGCCCCTGACCTTCTAGGCACACTTGGTCAAAGCTCCACACACCCCCATCAGTATCCAGTGCCCAGCACCCTGCCTGCTCTCCCCTTGAGACCAGATCAACTCAAGCACCAGGAAATCATTGACATCAGAGACTCTCAGATGGAAAGAAGTTTCAAGTTGTCACTCAGGGCCATGGAATACAGCCCCGCAGGCTGTGCACTGCACGAATCCAGGAAGCTGCCTTCTCATGCATAAGATGCACAGTGTGTGGATCCTGTCACCCAACCCTTATCTATGCAGGATTCCAAAGGCCCCCAGGGGCCGTTATTGGAGAGTGCTCATTTTCAGGTTGTTCCTCATACCAAGCCGAAATCTGTCCCCACCCCTACCCCACAGCAGTTCACACCTTGGAGTGAACTGGCCCTCTGGAGTCCCACACAGAAAGCCCAATTTCCTGTTTTAGCTGTGAGACCCCACCCAGACCTCGTGGGTTCCAACCCAGCCACGAGACGATTGTGTTTCTGAAGACTGCTGCCTTGTTCCACCTCTGAAGGTACTACCCCCGCTGCTGGGACGGGCGGAGGGAGGCCCAGGACGGCCACGCATCCACGGCTGTGCCTGCCCCAGGCGGGCTTGCCCCTCTCTCTCTGCTGCTCCAGCCAGAGCCGGGCTCCCAGTCTGAGACGCACAGGCGCAGAGCAAAAGTAGAGCAGTCAGGAAACGGGAAAGAAAAGCCTGTGCATTCCTGCTTCCTTCTCAGCAAGTTTCCAGAGCGATGGGGCTCCTCAGGCGGCTGGCTGGAGAGTCTGGGCACAAACAAACCTCCACAGCCAGGGTTCCCTCAGAGCTGCCTTTTGGAGAAAGAGCCCCAAAGCCTTCTGAGAGCCCTCGGCCATCCCACAGGCTCTTCCCTCTGGAGGTAAGAGTGCTGGCGAGTGTGCCCCTACCCTGGGACCTGTACCATCCAGGTTTGGGGGTGGCACAGGGGTTTCCCCAACACAGGCCAGAAGGACACGGGCACCTCTCATCTCCCAGGAGAAGATTCATGGCCTCCTGGAGGCCAGCGACACACCTGCCCCTACTCTGTCCCACAACCCCTTGGGATATGCTACCTTCACTCAGGTAACACTCAACTCTTTTCACTCCTGTGGGTTTGGGGGCAGATAAAGGCAACCGCTGGGCATGGGGAGGGCACCCTCCCCTGAATGAGAAACTAAGGCATCAGGGACTGAGCAGAGCACAAGAAGGGCTGGACCTGGACTGGTCCCCAGGAACAGAATGTCTGTGGGCGTGCTCAGTGGCTATCGAAGGAGAGAACTCAGCCCTCCTGCCCCGGAAGCAGCAATGTGTAAGAGAGGAGTGTGCAGGGCACCCAGGAAGGCAGCAGAAGTGGTGGAGTTCCGGAGAGACAGGGCAGACAGGCAGATAAGGCTCTGGGCTCTCTCCCCTCTGGGGCCCCAGCCAGAGCAATAGCAGGCCGGTTGCATAATCCTTCTATTTGCCCAGAGCTACATTTTGTCCTGAAACACTCCACCCTGGGAGGTGATTGAAGAAGGATTCAGCAAGGACCAGGCAGGGAAGGGAATCAGCAGAGGAGCAAGACGTGTGCTGGATCCCTCGGCCTTCCGCTGCCACCCAAGAGGATGGAGGCCCACAATGCATCCGCCCCACTCAACTTCACCCTGCCACCCAACTTCGGCAAGCGCCCCACCGACCTGGCGCTGAGCATCATCCTTGTGCTCGTGCTGTTCATCGTCATGTTCTCGCTGGGCTGCACCATGGAGTTCAGCAAGATCAAGGCTCACTTCTGGAAGCCTAAGGGGCTGGCCATCGCCCTGGTGGCACAGTATGGCATCATGCCCCTCACTGCCTTTGCACTGGGCAAGGTCTTCCGGCTGAACAACGTTGAGGCGTTGGCCATCCTGGTTTGTGGCTGCTCACCGGGGGGGAACTTATCCAACATCTTCAGTCTGGCCATAAAGGGGGACATGAACCTCAGGTAGGCCTGCGGGTGAGGAGGGGGGAGCCTGGGGACACGATTGGAGATGTCACAATTGAGGGGAAGAGCTAGGCTAAAGCCAGGAGAGGGAGTGAGTGGGGGCTCGGCGAATGCTAGGGCAGGGAGTGTCAGGCATTTATTGCCAAGATCTTATGCTGGGCTGGGGGCAGGGGCTGGGGTACATCTTGGTTTATGCATCACGCCCAAGGGGCCAAGCTAGAGACTCCCCTACTCCCAGAAGTGTCTCAAGTGGGGCGCAAGGATTGTCTTGAAGGAAGACAGATTTAAACCAATGGGGCCTCTGGAGAACTCTGCCTGCCTACAATGGTGAGCAAGTTGTCTGCTCTGAGGCCAGAGATCTAAAAGGGGGTGCAGATTGGTCCCAAACATCTCCAGGGAGATCAAGGTGGCTTGGAACCAAATGAGCCCCTCCAATTCCTGCAGAGCAGGCAAGAATTTCCAAAGATACTCCCAACCATCCTGCCATGTGGGATATCTTCCCCTAACATCCCCCATCCACCCATCAGATACAGAAACACTTCCAGGCAAATACACAACAGTCAGATCAAAGAGTCTCCCAGCCCCTGTCTAGGTTATGCTGGGCATCACCTCAGCCCAGCCGGTAGTGGGGAACCAGCAGCATCCCCTCACCCAAAGCATTACAGCAGAAATCAGTGAAGCCTCCCTCCTGCAGGGGCCCGTCCTTCCAAGCGGTGTGTCAGTGCGCACCCGGGATCCAAACCAGCGAACCCCGGGCCACTGCAGCGGAGCGCGGGCACCCAACCACCTGCGCCACCCGGCCGGCCCCTTTATTGTGAAATTTTTGTTGTACATTATTGTTTATCAGTCACCATATAAGTGCATCCCTCCACCCCTTGTGCCCACCCCTCACCCCCATTGCCCCTGGTAACCACAATACAGTTTTCTCTGTCCTTGTGTTGGTTTATCTTCCACATATGAGTGAAATCATGCACTGTTTGTCTTTCTCTTTCTGGCTTATTTCACTTAACATAATACCCTCCAGGTCCATCCATGTTGTTGCAAATGGGATGATTTTGTCTTTTTTATGGCTGAGTAGTATTCCACGGTATATGTATACCACATCTTCTTTATCCAATCATCAGTCAAGGGACACTTGGGTTGCTTCCATGTCTTGGCTATAGTGAATAATGCTGCGATGAACACAGGGGTGCATAAGCCTCTTTGGATTGTTGATTTCAGGTGCAGGGGGTAGATACCCAGTAGCGGGATAGCTGGATCATAAGGTATTTCTATTTTTAATTTTTTGAGGACTCTCCATACTGTTTTCCATAGAGGCTGCACCAGTTTGCATTCCCACCAGCAGTGGATTAGGGTTCCCCTTTCTCCACAGCCTCTCCAGCATTTGTTGCTTTTTGTCTTGGTGATTATAGATGTTCTAACAGGTATAAGATGGTATCTTAGTGTGGTTTTGATTTGCATTCCCCTGATGACTAGTGATGTTGGGCATCTTTTCATGTGCCTATTGGCCATCTGTATATCTTCTTTGGAGAAGTGTCTGTTCATTTCCTCTGCCCATTTTTGGATTGAGTTGTTTGTTTTTTTGTTATTCAGTTGTGTGAGTTCTTTATATACAATGGAGATTAATCCCTTGTCAGATATACAGTTTGTAAATATTTTTTCCCAGCTGGGGGGTTCTCTACTCATTTTGATCCTGGTTTCATTTCCCTTGTTGAAGCTCTTTAATCTGATGAAGTCCCACTTGTTTATTTTTTCTTTTGTTTCCCTTGTCTGAGTAGACATGGAATTCAAAAAGATCCCTTTATGGCTGATGACAAGTAGTGTACTACCTATATTTTCCTCCAGGAGTTTTATAGTTTCAGGTCTCACCTTCAGGTCTTTGATCCATTTTGAGTCAATTTTTGTGTATGGTGAAAGAAGACGGTCTACTTTTATTCTTTTGCAAGTGGCTGTCCAGTTTTCCCAGCAACATTTATTGAAGAGACTTTCCTTTCTCCACTGTATGTCCTTAGCTCCTTTGTCAAAGATTAGCTGCCCGTAGATATGAGGTTTTATTTCTGGACTTTCAATTCTGTTCCATTGATCTGTGTGTCTGTTTTTGTACCAGTACCATGCTGTTTTAATTACTATTACTTTGTAGTATGTTTTGAAGTCAGGGATTGTGATGCCTCCAGCCTTGTTCTTCTTTTCCAAGATTGCTTTAACTATACGGGGTCTTTTGTTGCCTGGGGCAGATTTTTTTTTTGTGTGTGTGAGGAAGATCAGCCCTGAGCTAACATCCATGCTAACCCTCCTCTTTTTGCTGAGGAAGACCGGCTCTGAGCTAACATCTATTGCCAATCCTCCTCCTTTTCTTTTTTTTCCCCCAAAGCCCCAGTAGATAGTTGTATGTCATAGTTGCACATCCTTCTAGTTGCTGTGTGTGGGACGTGGCCTCAGCATGGCCGGAGAAGCGGTGCGTCGGTGCGCACCTGGGATCCGAACCCGGGTCGCCAGTAGTGGAGCGCGCGCACTTAACCACTAAGCCATGCGGCTGGCCCCTGGGGCCGATTTTTAAATGAAAAAATGAGTGATACTTGGGGTTTACCAGGACCTGCCAGCTGAGAAACTCTGGACTCTATCCCTCTGATCCCACCCTCTCTGAGGTAGTCGATGGGAAGAGAGGCACAGAGAGGAGGCTTGGCTTGTATAATCTCCCACGGGAACATGTGTAATGTTCAACCACCTCACTGCGAGGAAGTACTTCCCTCTATCTAATCCAAATCCTTCCCGCTGCAGAGCAAGCCCTCGGTCTGGATCTGGCCTGTGGACAAGGTCATCGAAGCCTCTGTGTCCCCAGAAACCCGAACTATATCTTAATTCCGCTGTAGAAGGAATGCAGAAAGTTGGGTGTCGGGGAAGGGGTGGGTTACTCCGAGGGCTTTGTGAGTCTACAGAAGCAGCAGAGCAGGGTGGGACAGCGTAAGGGACACTGGCAGAGTTTTTAAGTGTGAGTGCCCTGGTGTCCCAGCCTCTTCAGCCAGAGGGTGCCAAGAAGGTCTCTTCCGTAACAGCTGCACTTCTGAGTCTCGGGGCCCCCACCGGCTGAGCCTCCAGCGACTCAGGAACGCGACCCCTCACGCTCTCCTGCTCAGCCTCCTTGTCTGCGCACCTGCGGACTGTCACTTCTGCCTAGACCTCGCCAGAGATAATGCTCTGCTGGGACGGCCGCCTTCTGCCATAAAGCCCCTTCCCACAGACGACCCTCCCATGCACATTAAGCCGTGCCTCAGACCTCGCTGGCAGAGCGTGAATCTCATCCTCTGTCATTACTGCTGCCAGACTTCCAGTTCCAATCGGAGTTCCTCTGGGACCACTTGTTACGTGTATTATAACAACGGTAATGATACCGATAATAAACAACAGCCAGGCCCTGCAGCACGCACGTCACATGAGATCCTCATCAGCACCCTGTGAGAAGGCGCTGGAAAGAGCCCCACTTTAGAGGTGAGGATTAGAGAGGTTAGTATATTTGCCCAAGGTCCGGGGGCTCCAAAGCCTGTGTTTTCACTCAAGCACCTTCAGGGTCAGGCGCGTACGTAAACAACCGCAGCGGCTGGAGGCTGACTGCCAGCCTGGGAGGCGTGGGCCCCTCACCAGGGCAGGTGCCGTCCATCTCCGCCACGGTGTTCTGTGGAGCGGGGACCACCACCGCCACAGCTTCTCGCTTTTCAAGAGAAGGTAGAATCTCCCTTTTTGAGTGAAATCTCCAAATCTTTAAATATTGGCAATTCATTCAAAATTTTTTAAAACTGTGCAAGCCAAACTATAGATGTCGAAGGGCCAGATGCAGCTCAAAGCCACCAGTTTGAGCTCTCTCTTTAAACACGACACCATGCTGTTTCGCATTTAGATCAGGGAGGAATCTGAAGGCACCGATTCCACTTTACACACGAGGAAGCCAAAGTCCAGGGACTTGCCAGAGGTTTCCCAGAATTTGTGGGAAAGCCATGTCTGGAGCCAGCCCCAGGCTCCCTCCTCCCGTTTTTCTGCCTCAGCTGGAGCGAGTCTGGGGGCAGCCGCCATGACAGGCAGGCGGGCACCTTCCTGGAGGCTGGGCCACCAGATGAACCTCAAGCTGCAGGCATGGCGGCTCCCTCCTCAAGGATGCCGGTAGACAAGCTCCAAAAAATGCAGGTCACCCACGGGCCAGAGAAAATACCCTCCACGTTGAAGCGAGCTTGGCTCCTTGGGGACGGAGGAGAGAGTGCCACAGGGAACTGCGCCCCTCTGACCGCCTTCACTGCCCCTCCAGTTTATCTGCTCCCCCCACCTGGCCCACAGCAGAAACTAGAGCCAATGGCTGTGGGGACAACAGACTTGGACACAATCCAAGGACTCCCACAGGTCTCTCCACCAGAATAAGACAGAAGCCATTCGGGTTCCCAGAAGTTTCTCACTTCACCATAGACTCTGATGTGTCCCCTCACAGCTCCCTCCGCTTCTGCCTCCAGTGCTGCTATTGACAGGCACTCAAAACCCATCCCTCAAACAGGGCATACAGATGTCCAAAAGCAGGTGCATGCAGTGCTCTGAGAACTTAAGTAGGAAGGATAAACAGAAAACCAAACGTGCGCCTTTCCCCTGGTCCCCTTCTTCCCTGAGAGGCAGCTAATCCAGCCATGTTACTACAGAACAGGTTCTGATCTCAAAGCTAGAGTTTGAACAAGCCACATCCCATTCCCGAGCAGTATATGAAGATCCCTGTTCTCCATGTATTCATCTGTATTTGGAATTGTCAGACTTTTTAATTTTTGCCATCTGGTGAGAGTGAAATGGGTCATGGTGGTTTTAAATTTGATTTCATGGGAGGTCTAGTGCCTTTTCATATGTTTTTTGGCCATGTGGGTATCCTCTTCTGGAACTATGTCGTTTGCCTATTTTTCTGTAGGACTATTGTGTTTTTCTTGTTAATTTGTAAAGTGCTTGTTTAGATATGTTGCGATGGTGTGTTCACAGTT